TTTGTGTTTGTGTCTTTTGCACATTTTTCTGTTTCCCTTACAAAACTTAACTGACTTGAAATTTAATTATGCAAGTAAGGTAGGTTTACATGCCTGTGAAGCTAGCTGTGTATAAAGCAAAACCCCTTCACTGCCCTCATTCCCCCTTCTTGATACGCAGTTGACCCTTGAACAACATGGGTTTGAACTGCATGGGGCCACTTATACACAGATTCTTTTTCCATAACTATGTTGGAAACATTTTTGGAGAATTGTGACAGTTTGAAAACATCTTTTCTTTGCACTCATTTGCTTTATTGTAATAATACAGCGTGTAACATACAGCATACAAAATATTTGTTAACCAACAGTTTATGTTGTTGGTAAGGCTTCCAGTCAATGACAGGCTGAGAGTAATTAAGGTTTTGAGGAGACCAGAGTTAAACATCGATTTTCAGCCACATATCCTAATCCCTGCATTGTTTGAGGGTCAACTGTAATTGCTTTGTGACACTGACATATATTCATCCATATTACTTTCTTTTGCATTTGTATATATTCATATAAGTACATTTAGGTTTTGTTTTTATGAAAATGGAATCGTATTCTATGTGTTGTTTTCTGATTTGCTCCCTTGCCCCCACACTATATTATCTTGGAGATTGTCTGATGTAAGCAATATAGAGTTATAGTTAGTTTTTTTTGGGAACAGCTTTATTGAGAAATAATTCATGTACTGTAAAGTCACGATTTAAAGTGTACAATTTAGTGGTTTTTAGTATCTGCCACAGAGTTGTGTAACCATTGTGTAATCATCACCACAATCAATTTCAGAACGTTTTCATCACATCAAAAATAAACCCTGTACCCTTCAGCTGTCACACTCCAAATCTCCCATTTCCCTTAGCCCTAAGCAACCACATATCTACTTTCTGTCTCTCTAGATTTGCCTATTCTGGACAGTTAACATAGATGGAATCAAATAACATGTGGCCTTTCGTATCTGTCTTCTTTCACTTAGCATAATGTTCTCGAGGTTCTTCTGTGGTGTAGCTTGAATCAGTACTCCATTCCTTTTTTATGGCTGAATACTGTTCTGTTGTACAGATAGGCCATAATTAGTTTCTGCATGAGTTGATGGATGTTTTGGGCATTACGAATATCACTGCTATGAACATTGGTGTACTAGTTTTTGTGTGGACATGTGTGTTTTCATTTCTCTTGGGGTATATACGTAGGAATGGAATCACTGGGTCAAATGGTAACTCTATGTTTTACTTTTTAAGGACCTGCCCAACTATTTTCCACAGTGGCTGTACCATTTCCCATTCCCACTAGCAGTGTATGTGAGTGTTCTATTTTCTCCACATTCTAACACTTGTTATTTTTTTTGTCTTTTTGGCTATAGCCATAGCAGTCGGTGTAAAGTGTTCTCTTATTGTGGTTTTGATTTACATTTCCCGGTGGCTGATGCTATTGAGCATCTTTGTATGTGCTTATTGTCCATTTATATATTTTCTTTGGAGAAATGTCTCTTCAGATTTCCTGTGTTCATTTTAAAATTGAGTATTTATCTTTTTATTATTGAGTTATAAGAATACTTTATATAGTCTAGATACAAGTCCCTTATCAGATTATGATTTGCAGATATTTCCTTCTATTCTGTGGGGGTGTCTTCACTTTCTTGATAGTGTCCATTGAAGTGCAAATTTGGTGAAGTCTAATTTATTTTTTCTTTTGTTGCTTATGCTTTGAATGTCGTATCTAAGACTCTATTTCTAAATAGCTCTTATGTTTAGGTTGTTGATGTAGCTTCAGTTAATTTTTGTGTATGGTGTGAGCTAAAGGTCGATCCTCATCCTTTTGCACATAGCTATCCAGTTTTTCAGTACAATTTGTTGAAAAGACCCCATTGAATAGTCTTGGCACCCTTGTTGAAATTCAGTTGCCATAGATACATGGTTTTATTTCTGGACTTTAAATTCTGTTTTATTGATCTAAATGTCTGTCCTTGTCAGTACCACACAAATACCTTTTATCAGGGTTTTGTTTTGTAAAATACAAAAACATAGTATTTGCATTTTATCTTGATTGCTTTGTATTAAGTTTTGAAACTAGAAAGTGTGAATCTTTCAAATTTGTTCTTTTTCAAGAGTGTTTTGGCCCTTGGGTTTCCATATTAACTTTAGGATTAGCTTTTCAATTTCTGTAAAAGATCCAGTTAGAATTTTGATAGAGATTGCATTGAGTTGGAAGACTGATTTGGAGAGTTAGTTATCTTAATTATATAGACTCTTTCAGTCATGATCATGGGATTCATTTCCATTTATTTAGAATTCTTTAATTTCTTTCATTTAGTGTTTTCTAGTTTTCAGATTATGAAATTTGCACTTCTTTTGTTAAACTTACACCTAAGTATTTTATTCTCTTTGGTGTTAATGTAATTGAAGTTGTTTTCTTAATTTTATTTTTGGATTGTTTGCTGATAGTATATATGAATACAATTGATTTTTGGATATTGGTCTTATATCTTCAGGCTTGCTCAAGTCATTGATTATATTAGTTCTGATTGCTTTTTAGAGAATTCCTTAGGATTTTCTATATACACAGTCATGTCATCTGTGAATAGAGATAGTTTCAGTTCTTCCTTTCCAATTTGGATGCCTTTTATATAGTTTTCTTGCCTAATTGCTCTGGTTAGGATGTCCAGAGCAATGTTAAATAGAAGTTATGAGTGGATAGCCTTGTCTTGTTCCTTATCTTATGGGCAAAGTATTTGGTCTTTCATTAATAAGTATGATATTAGTTGTGGGTTTTTGTAGATATTGTTTATCATTTTGAGGAACTTCCCTTCTATTCCTAGTTTGTTGAGTGTTTTGTTTTTTTTTCTGAACAAGAAGGGTTTTTTTTTTGCATTCAAATGCTTCATGCTTTATCTATGTCTTTGAGATGACAGCGTGGTTTTTTGATTTTAAGTTTATTTGTTTCCGGGTTTTTACATTAATTGATATTTGAATAGTAAACCAACCTTGCATTACTGGGATAAATCCCACCTAGTTATGATGTATAATTCTTCTTTATATGTTGCTGGATTCAGTTTGCTAGCATCTTGAGAATTTTTCTATCTATATTCACAAGCTGTATTGGTCTTTAGTTTTCTTCTCTTGTCATGTCTTTGGTTTTGGTGTCTGGGTAATACTCACTTCATTGAGTAAATTGGGGAGTGTTCCCTCCCCTCTTTTTGGAAGAGTTTGGGAGGAATTAATATTAATTTTTCTTTAAGTGGTAGAATTCACAACTGAAGTTATTTGGACCTGGCCTTTTCTTTGTGGATAGTTTTTTGATTCTTAATTCAATCTCTTTATTTATTATAGGTCTTTTTAGATTTTCTGTTTCTTTCTGAGTCAGTTTTGGTAGTTTGTGTATTGCTGGAAATTAAGTTATGTAATTTATTGACGCATAGTTCATAGTATTTGTGTTTTATTCTATGAATGTAGCTTACTCAAACCAATTTCCTATGCATAGGACTGTTTCCATTTTTTTACTGTTACAAAGTACTGCAATGAACATTTTATTATCTCTAGCTTTATATTCATTGTAAGTGTGTTTATAGTATAGATTCCTAGAAGAGGAATTGCTGGGTCAGAGGTCCAGATTTTGAAAATGTTGATGGTTTCTTCCCCTTTGTCCTCTTTCTGCTCATCTTTCTAGCTTTATTGATTTGTATGTTCTTTATGTCTAGTAATCTTGGTCTCCTGGAGTTTGGAGTTGGTAAGAATGCACCAAGCAAGTAGGAAGGATAGGTTTGGAAACTGTGTGGTGTTTGCTTGAAGGGGGTGCACTGTTTGTTCTCAATCCTGCACATTCACATGTGGGATTTCCAGACCCTGGAACCTAAACTGCTGGCAGGTCAGAGACTCTGCCTCTGACAGGCCAATGTCAACCTGGGAGAGGTCACCTGGAGCCTGCAGCAGGGCAGGGTCTCCCCAGCTGACTCCACAGGGATCCTTCCCAGGGCCATTGTCCTGGGAGTTCTGAGAGCAGCAAGGGCTCCAGGCAGCTCTGGCCCGTTGATGCCTGCGAGGAAGGGAGACTGGGTGCTTTTCCTCTGCCTGAGGAAGAGACCAGGACATACCTTTCTCCCTTATCATTGCCTTCTTTCTCTCTTGTTCCTCTGAGGCCTGTTTGTTCCAGGTACTCATTAACTCATGGCTTGCCAGTGCCCAGATGTGGGCAGTGATCTTACATCAAGAACGTGTAGCTGTTTTTGTGGAATGGGAAATGGGGGAAACTTCTGAGGAACCTCTGTGTTTTATTAGGGTAGCGCTTTCAGACTCACCTCAATTTGACCTCTTTTTCTTCTTTTTGCCTTTACCTAGAATTTACAAAGGTGGAGCCAAAGTAGGTTAAAGGTTTAGATTTATGAAATTTGAGATTTTAGAAATAATCTCTCCAGGTCCTTGGGGGCTGTAGTTCAATGGCTTTCAGGCTTTGCGCATGTGCTGTAGGGTGGCAAAGAGGTGTCTTGAAGACAGGGGACAGGGGCTGCCCTGGCCAGAGCAGCTCTGCTTTTACTGTCTTACATATTTAATTTCTAAGTGAGATTTTGTATGAGGAGACAGAAGGGGGATGTTGGAAAAGTACTTATGTTGGACTTCTTGGCTCCCCTGTTGGGTTGAAAACATCCCAAACGGGAATGCTACTGCAAGTCAAATTCTGGGGCCAAGAGGCATTTTGGGGAACTGGCTTTTTCCCAAGGGCCCCACAGGCTCCACAGCCATAGAGACCAGGTGGCTGCTTTTCCCAGGGCCGTTTGCCAGCCTGGAAGTGTTTTATTTTTTTCTTTTGTTGTATGGGGTGTTCTGGCCCTCCAGCCCTGCAAAGGCAAAATCAAATTATCTTCTTGCTTGATCCAGATGAATGTTGTCCCTGTGGAAGCCCTGGGCTGGGCTTCCAGACAGTTGGTGAGTAGACCTCTGGCTGATCCCTCTTTCTCTCCCTGTCCTCTTTGTGTCTTTCAGTCGGCGGAGTTCTTCGAGATGCTGGAGAAAATGCAGGTGAGCATCCCCAAAGTGGGGAAGCTGAGCCCCGGGTGGGGGGTGCCGAGATGGTCTTGGGGGGTGAACCACCAGGTAGAACCCATGGGCAGAATTCGGGAGCCTTAGAAGGGGGCAGAGAGAGGACTCAGACCTCACTGGCCTGGGCAGCCTCGGGCCAGTAACAGGTCGAGTGGCACAGAGGATTCTGGGAAGACAGACTCCTGCCTGAGGAACAGGGAGAAGATAAAAAACAGGACCTCCAGCCGGGTGAGCAGACCAGGTGTGGGGAAGGTTTGGAAGGGTCTGTTTTTCCTGAAATGGTTTGAAAGGAAAGCCCCTTCTTAGGGGAGTCATCCTGTGTCTGGGAGGCAGAGCGGCTGGTGAAAGACAGACCTGAGTTCAAATCCTGCATCTAACACGTATAGTCCAAGTTCCTTGCTTTTCAAAGCTCCTGGCTTTTGTCTACTCACAGCCTTGTTCTCACCTCACTCTGACACGACGCCAAATGTGTGGTTGTTTGTTTCCCCACAAGACAGTTCTGTGACACGAACCAGCTATCCTATGATTCAGCTCAATTCTGACACTATCTCCCTGGAGAATAAGGGCTCTGCCCCCGAGACTGCCTGCCTTCACATGCCAATTGACAGTCAGTTGTCACCTGGGCTTCTGACCAACCAGCTTAAATTGGAGGTTTGCACCACCAGGTTCAATTTATTTGCTAGAGCACCTCACAGAACTCAGGAAAGCAGTTTACTGACTAGATTACCAGTTTATTATAGAAGGATACAACTCAGGAACAGCCAGATGGGAAAGACGCAGAGGGCAGTGTATGGGGGAAAGGGCACAGAGCTTCCGTGCCCTCTGAACACACCACCCTCCCAGCATCTACACATGTGCCCCGACCTGGAAGCTCTCCAAACCCAGTCCTTTGGATTTTTATGCAGGCAGGACTGATAAACCATTGGCCACCAATAGTTGATTCAACCTCTGTGGAGTTTTGTTGGGGGGAGGACACTGAAAGTTTCACCCTTCTAATGTGGTTGGTTCCCTGGTAACCAGCCCAGGGTGGCCCAAAAGTCACCTCATTACTATAAATCATTAACATACATTTATGACTGCCACTCCTTTCACCTTTATGTCTATGGACTGTTTCAGGTACTGAAGATAGAAGACCAAATACTATAACAAAAGATGCTCCCATTTCTCTTACCACTTCGGAAATTCCAAGGGTTTTAGGAGTTCTGTGCCAGGAACAGATGAAGACCAAAATATGTATTTCTTATTATAATTCACAGTTGCACAGCTTCCATAAATAAACAGAAATAAAAATACCCACTTCCATGGTTGTTGGGATGAAATGAGGTAATATATGTAAATACTTGGTAGGTCCACCCTGCATAAAAATCAGTGTTCAGTGTTGATTTGGGGGCCTTTATAATTACTTGTCCCCAGGGGGTCAGGGCTCACAGGTGAGATACGCTGCCCTAGAGAATGTAGAGAGGGGTCCAGAAGGCTTAATTGATACAGGTGGAAAGAGTGGGATGAAGATGTTGATAATAGCACATATATTTTCAGCACTTCTCCTGGCTCGGAGATGGGCAGGTGTTACCTATTTCTTCTTGACAAGGCCTGCAGGAAGTAGATATATTGTTGTTATTATAATTAGCCTGTTTCACAGAATATGTGAAAAGTGAGGAAACTGAGGCACAGAGGTGTTACATAAAGCACTCAAGGACTCATGGCTAGTAAGCAGCTTCTGAGCCAGAAGACTTGGCCATTATATTATGATGCTTTTTTACCCTAAGTGAGTGCTATTGGCTCAAGGAAGGAAGATTCTGTGGCAGTGTTCTGGAAGCTTTAGAAGGAGAGGCAGATGGGGTGCCCACTGCTGCCTGAGGTGCAGGTGGATGTGCTGAGGTCCTCATGGGAAAGCCCGGTCTCCCTAAGGATGGGGAGGGGAGGGGCAGTTTGAGGGAAAAATATTTTTGGTGCTTGTGTCATTATCACAAGCAAGTTATTAAGATCCTCATCTCTGTCCAGCAGTGTATGGACTAAAAACTAATTTTATGTGCGTTTAGGGAACTCACAATCCAGGTGCATGAACAGGGATGGCATTGCTTGGAACAAAGCTGAGATTTTTACCTCAAGCGTATGGATTCCTGGCACTCTAGGAAGCTGGCAGGGGACTTGAAGCTCACCCAGTCCTCACCCTGCCTTCTCTCTGGTTGTTTCCACACCCCACCCATCCTTCGCTCTTAGCTGGGGTCCCCTGCCTACCCTGCAAAGGGCTACTGTGTTTGAACACATAACTCAGCCCCTTTTGACTGGCCCGTATAATTCTGTTGTTTATTTAGGCTGCTGGGCTTGACTTCTCAACTAGATAGAGACCCTGGGCAGGGGTCTGGTTTTTCTGGCCCCTCTGTATCTTCATAGCAGCTGACACCTAAGGGCGGCTTGCTGATTACATCTCAATTGAGATTGCTGGGGGCTGAAATCAGACTTGCCAGTGTGTGGGTGCCTACCACATGCCCACTGGGCCCAGCCTCCGAGGGCCCACATTTTCAGCTCCTCTGTATGCACGACACTCACATATGGGGAACCTGTGGATGAAACCAGTGGCGTGGTGTGGCTGGATTCTGTCCTTGAGTGCGGGCACCATCTGTCCTCATGCGGAGACTGAGTTTCAGAGCAATCAAGTGCTCGGGGCACTCTGATTTGTGGAGAAGTGAAACTAAGTGTGCTTGGTCAAATCACTCGACCTCTCTGATCCTCAGTTTCTTCATGGCAGGGGAAAGGGGAGATAATGATAATACCTGTTGTGAAGGATGGCACACAGAGGGCAGGGGAGAGGGCCCGGTGTTGGCTGGTGGCTCTGTCGTGGGGGAGGGCAGGAGAAGAGGTTCGCTCTCCTGCCCAGGGGCTGTTCCCAGGCAGGGATGACTAATGCAGGGCAAACAAAACAAGCTTCTGAAATCACCCCGACTCCTGTCCGCCCAGTTTGCCTACCTGGACAGGGTCTGCAGGGCCACCCAGGCGGTTTTCTCCCTCTGTGGGGAGAGGAGCACCTGTCTGGTGGGAGGGAGGGGCCCTCCCACACCCTTCTGAACAATGCTGCGGGGTGACTCAGGCTGAGAAGTCCAGAGAAGCTGAAGTCCAAATCCACCCCGTGAGCAGGAGCCCTGGGCTGCAAGGGCCGTGAGGTGGGAACATGCATGGGGTGCACAGATAGCCCAGCTTCAAATCCAGCCCTGCTATTCACTAGCTGTGTGACATTAGGCGGTGTGACATTCCTCATTGGTGAAAAGATACTGAGGGCTTCAAAGGAGGAGACAGGGTGCCAGGGAAGGTCAGGGACCCGCAGAGCCATGTCATGAACAGGCAGCGGCCGCTTCTGGGCTCTTCTCTCCAGAGGGGACCCATTTCTCCTGGTTGTCCCACCATGTCATACCTTCATCTGGTTTATTCAAACAGTCTTGAGAACACCATGTGCTCCCCTCTCAGAAAACACCTGGTTAAGTCGGAACTTGACTATAGGACCACTGGATGAGGCAGTGTGTTCTCCAGAGAATAGTTTTCCACAAACCTATAGGTGAACCCCTTTAATGCAGCCCTGTCATGGTTTCTGATCCCTGAAGTAATACATCTGTGAGGTGGCAGGTGGGCACTAGAATCCTTATTTCCCAGATGCAGGTATGGAGGCTGCAAGAGGCACAACTTCGTGGAGGGTCACCTCACCTGTAGTAAGACAGCGGCAGAATGAAGACCCTTCCACTGGGGCAGGATGGAGCTGGTGTGGCGTGAGGGCCAGGGTGCCGGCCGTGACACCCCCACACACGGGTTCTCACCCCTTGCCTGCCTACTGCTTCCCAGAGTCTTGCAGAGATATTTTAGCCCAGGACAATGCTGCCTGCCTGGTGATGAGGAAAACCCATTGCTTTTACTGTATACCGGTTACTCTTCCAAGAGCTTAACATATTATCAACATTTAACCTTCACCACAGTAGTAGGTGCCATTATTGTTTCCATTTGACAGATGGGAACACTGAGCCACCGAGAGGTTTTGTGACTTGCCAAGGTTATAAGGTCGTAAGTGGCAGTGCTGGGATTTGAAGCTCAGTGATCTGGCTCTAGTCCATGCTCTTCACACCCCTGCCTCCTGCCTTGCCTGGGGCTGCTAGGAGGACTGAGCGTGACAAGGTGTGTGACGTGTCAGGGTCCAGCACCCCTCAGCTGCCGCTCTGATTACCAACCCCAGCAAGGCAGGTGTTCCCAAGAGATTTCTGTTTGGCCCCTTTTTGGTGACTTTGTTTTTCCATAGATCCTCCTTGTTTCCACAGGGGATCAAGCTTGAAGAACAAAAGCCAGGACCCCAGAAGAACAAGGTGGGCTGTGCAGAGGAGGGGGGAGCCAGGTAGCCTGGCCAGGGGGCCCTGCTGAGAGGACAGCAGGGGAGCGGCCGGCATGCTGGGGTCTGCTGTCTGACGCCCTCTGACTTGGATTTCACTGCGAGCCCCTTAAGTGGCTGTTCCCCTGTTGGCTTATGTACAGTGGGTATCAAAGGACACCCCTGGTTTTCTGCCTTTAGGGCAACTTGAGAGCAGGCGAGGGTGGGAGCCTCAGGCCAGGCCTAGGGCTGGTGGCTCAGCCCGGGTCCTCTGCACCCCCTCCTGTAAATGAGCCACATACAGTGTTTTAGGGTGTCGGGCTCTGAGCTCTGGGCTCCAGTGGTCATTAGTTCTCAGCTTCAGTTTCCATTTCTAAGGCCCAGGGGTTCAGCTCCTCACCTGGAGGTCAGCCCCCTTGCGTGGTGGGGAACTGGGTGGGGTCATTGTCTTCCTGCTGCGGCATCCTCAGTTAGAAGGTAGCGTAGGAGGGCTGTGACGTCAGCACCTTTGTGTACTGTCTTCAGCCAGCCAGGTCTTCATGCAGGTTATATTATTTTGGGGAAGAATTAGAGAAGCCAGGTTCCAGAGCTGCCTGTCTGCTGCCCTCCTGTCTGGTGGTCTTCCTGCCAGTGCTCCCAGAGCTCTGGTACAGCCTGCCAGGCCCCCAGCCCACCCCTTCACAGATCTGGGAAGGGAATGGAAACAGTTGCACATTTTAGGGGCACTGATGGGGCATTGTCTGGTTTGTCTTGCAGGATGACTATATCCCATACCCCAGCATTGACGAGGTAGGGGCCCCTGGCCGCTGTGGGGCCTGCTCTGGTCCTGTCTCTTGGGCAGGGCTGGGGGAGCTTCTGGTGATGATGGTAATGGTACCTGCCCTGCCCTGCATGGGACTAAAACTGAGGTCTGGGGCTTGAGGGCCTGACTCTCCCATCTCTCCCTTTGTGACCTCAATTTCTCCATGTTTAAATTGGGGGTGCCCATCCAAGGCTGACAACTGGTGCCACAGGGTTGGTGAAGCTGGAGATGTCATGGGGCTTAGAGAAGGGGTTCATGTTACTGCCTTTGGCCTCAAATATGGGGGTCCCTCCCTTGGAGATGTTCAGAGGTGGTGGTGGAGATACCACCACTGGCATCACACCCCTCCCCCTGCAGACTCAGGGCAGGCTGCAGTGTGAGACCCACTCTCTGCCTCCAGGTGGTGGAGAAGGGGGGCCCATACCCACTGGTCGTCCTGCCCCAGTTCGGTGGCTATTGGATCGAGGACCCGGAGAACGTGGGCACCCCGACCTCTCTGGGCAGCAGCATCTGTGAGGAGGAGGAAGAGGACAGCCTCAGCCCCAGCACGTTTGGTTACAGGCTTGAGTGCAAGGGAGAAGCCAGGGCCTACCGCAGGCACTTTCTGGGGAAGGTGAGGCCCAGGGGCCCTGCGTGGCAGTAGCTGATGGTGGGGGACACACCGGGAATGCTCTCCACTGCCCCCTTCCCTGCTGTCTGCCTCTGTCCTCAGTGGAGAGGGCTGACTGGCTCTGCTGGGCAGGGGACAGGGAGAGTGCAGAAGTCAGGAAGGCTCATCCCAGCAACTGTTTGAGGAGGCGATGGGACGGGTAGCGTCTCTGGCAAGAAAGAGGGAGGAAGGAGAAAATATGTTCTCACACCTCGGAAGTCTCCACTTCCTTCTGAATAGTGCAAATCTCTCCTGTACTCACTTAAGCAGGTCCCCCAGGTCCTTGTAGCGGACGATGTGCTGTGAGCCACTGAGAAGTGACAAAATCTTATTTCTTTAAATATATTGTGCCCTTCAGCCTTGCCAGGTTCTGGAAGTCCCAAAAGCAGACAATGGAAATCTCCAGCTTAAGGCAACTTTACAGGGTCTCAAAGGGAGGAGCTGCAGCAGAACGCCCCCCACCCCTGAACTTGTTAAAAAACCTATTCCAGCTCCCCACCCTGATAGGGCAGGTCTGGGGTGGGCTCCCTGAGCCTGGGGGCCACCCCCCCACCAGAGCACTTCCCGGCTCCCCTTGGGCAAGGGTGCCAGGGTTCCTCCCAGCTTTATTCCCACGTGGAATCTAAACTGGGGAGCAAGGAAGTGAGGATTCAGTGTCTGGTGAAGAATTTGAGCTTCAGTCAGGACAGATGTGGGTATGAGTCCTGGATATGGCACTTACTAGTTGTGTGTCTCTGGACAGTTAGTTAAGGTGCCTGAACACCGATTTACAGGTCTGTGAAGTGTGATTCTCGCTCCCATAAAGCAGTCAGGATCAAAGGAAATGATAGGCATCAAGCGCCTAGTGTCCTGAGGACTGGGCAGGTGGAACCCATTGCTGCCATTCTCCGCCTCCCCTCCTCTCTTTCCCCCCTTTGCCATCAGTGGCGGCCACAGCAGTAGCATGGGGGCTCTCTTTCCTGGTGAAGGGAGAGGTTTGGGGGGCCATGTCTGGATTTCCCCTCCTCCCAACTAACACCTAATTTCTGTGCCTAGGATCATCTAAATTTCTACTGTACTGGCAGCAGTTTGGGGAACTTGCTTCTGTCCATCAAGTGTGAGGAGGCAGAGGGCATTGAGTATCTTCGGATCATTCTCAGGTGGGGCTCCTGCACTGTCAGAGGCCACGCCTCTAGTGGCCAGGATCCAGAAATACCAGTCCGACCAGTCTGGTCTGGGCATGCTGGGGGGAACAGACCAGCTAGAATCCTGGGGCCACTGTCCAGGTTGCCAGGCAGGGAGCCCAGGTGTTTATGCCACCTGCCTGGTTGCTGGAGTCAGAGTGGTATCTGGTCTCAAGGTCACCTAGATCATAACCTAACCTGCTTCTCGGGGACCGTAGCTCTGAGAAAGACGACGGGAAGAAAGAGTAGAGATGGCTCATTCTGCTGAGATAATTCCAGATCGTCCTGTGAGTGGGTTTGCCAGAACACTGCCTTCGGTGTGCACGGAGTCAGGGAACACAGATCCCAAAGCATCTGTGCGCTGGGTTCCCCCGGATGGAGTGATTGTCATAACAGGAGCATTGATTGACAGCTAAGCCAGGGCACCTCTCTCTGGATGATGACCTCTTCAAGGGCAGGAAGTGGAACTGGTTTCTGTTTTCAACTAACATGCTGTGTAAAACCTCCTTTGTATCAGGAGGTGTGCGTGATAGGTGCTGGGCATGCAATGATGACCGAGTCGTGGTTCCTGTTCTCTAAAGACTGATGGTCTAGAGGGAGAGACAAACAGAGGATTTTAAAATGTGTCACAGGCACTATTTTAGCGATATGCACAGGATGCTGTGGGAACACAGAGAGTCTGGATCTTATTTATCTCTGTTCCTGATGGGCTGGTAAAAAAGCCAGGAAGGCCGAGTGTGAAGGCCAAGTGCTGGTGCTTAGAGTGCTGTGAACCTGCCAAGGCTCCCACTTCATATTTGTTCAGTCTAATTGGAAGTCCTTGAAGGTATTTGGAAAGAAGCAATAACATTTTTTTTTCTGTCCCAATTTTGAAATGAATATGGGAGGGAACAGGGACACATAGAAGCTATGGGAGAAGCTTGCTGGGGGTTTGAGGGGAGGGCACCAGGAAGTTGTCAGCACCCATCCAATCTTCATTTGCTTTTTATTAAGAAAGGAAGCAATTTTCTTTACTGAGGTTCACTGGCCAGGAATCATGTTTGCAAGGCAAGGAAGAGTCAATTAAACCACTAGAGCCAATTTTTTGAGGAAGTAATACCTGGATCCACAGTTCCAAATAGGATTTTAAGCTAAGTGAATCTCTAAAGAAAATTACTTGCTTTCTTAATAAAACTCAGACCCAGATTGGGTAGGATTTCTGAGTTAGATGATGACTGAATACAAGGCTCTAACACACTTTTTCTAATACTATATCCTATCTGTAATGCTGCCATCAGGACTGAAAACTAGAGAAGGATGCTGGGAATACACACTTTGATGATTTTTTTGTGTGTGTGGTAATCTGTGGGGCAGGTAGGACTATAATGTAGGTGATGTTGAGAGTTGAATTGCAGTTCCCCTTCCTTAGAAAAAAATGTATGAAATGGGAGATTCTGTGCTCTTTAGAAGTGAGGGTTAGCCCTGGAACAATCAGGAATCTTTCTGCATGGAACCATTTTGTTGTTTTGGGTTCAGCAGCATTTGAAATCAGTGCCTTAGGGTACCCAGCATCAAGCTCAAATGTGGCTCTCCCAGATGGAAAGTCAGTGAGTGGGATGGTGGAGAGAAGCCATGTGTCAGCTAGGAATTTGGACATCTACATCATGTACTTGGAGGGATGGCCAGGCCAAATTGAAAACCAGACATTAAATAATTGACCCCCTGGCTTTAGCAGCTTTACCAGACACAAAGAAGAAATCATGCAGAGGTGAAATTCTCCTGCTGGGAGTGACTCCTGTCCCAGCTTCTTCCTCATTCCGCTGTAGGCTTCTGGATTATTTAATTAATGTCTTATAACAGCCAGCTCTCCAGCCTAAACTCTGAGAAGAATATTCTTACAGCTGCTGTGTGTGCTATGAGAATAGCCAAGAGGAATCTATCCACAATTTGGAAACAAATAGCAAAGTTGAGTACATTTCTTCTTTTCCAAATCTGGATATAACAAAGAAGAAGAAAAACCTGACAGTTTGGTGAAAGAAGAGAGTCTTTATCTTAAAAAAGTATAACCTGGCATTTAGAAGATACAGAAATAACCGAATTTTGAAAATGATTTACAAATAAAGTTTAGATAGCTATTAAATTTGTATTTTCAGCAAACTTCAAAAAATAATTAACTGTATGAAAGAAAGAAGATAAAATAAGACCACAGAATGAGATGAAAAAGTTGCTAGTTAAGGAACTACTGTAAGACAAGGAAAAATGGCCCCCCAGTTTTTTAAAAAATGGTATTAGAAGCAGTGAAGAGCAAAATCTACTTCATGGAAAACCCAATTAGTAATATTGAAGACAAGATGAAGAAGCTCTCATGTAATTCAAAGGAAAATACAACATCTCTAAAATGATGAGCAAAATTATAATGAATTTGGAGAATAGTAAGCAGGAATTAAACATGTGGATAATTGATGTTCTTAAGCTGAATAAAGACTTCAGTTTAAAGATCAAAATGACTCAGTATCAGAAAAAGATCAATGAAAGGAACCCAATAGCTGGACTTATTCTCATGAAAATGTAATGTTCTGTGGATATAAAATTCCTGGTAGAATGAAATGTTCCAAATAGTAAAGGAAGATGGAGAGAACATACAATATAGAAAAAACAGAAAATAAAGGAATCATAAATAAGTAAGTATATTAGATGTAAGTCTGAGTACTTCTATTATATGTATGTATAATGTATAATTATAATATATGTTTAAATATAAGCATGTAAGATAAAGATATACATGATATACAGTAAATATGAGTTAAATTCCACTTTTAAATAGCAAAGAATCTCAGTTTGAGTCATCCCTCCAAAAAACCCTCACAAATCAATCAACCAGTGGATCTATATTTTATTAAAGATGGTAACTCAGTATATTTAAAAAGAAAAGTGTTGAGAAAAAGTTATAACAATAAAATGCAAAAAGAAATCACAGTTGCTATATTAATATGGAAAAGTAGAATTCAAGGTAGAAAAGCAATCAGTTTGATAAAGAAGGCTAATTGTCTATTCATAAAAGATAAAATCTGCAGTGAAGATATCTTGTAAACCCTTTTATTCTTAATAGTATATATTATAGTATACACATATATGTGATTAAAATATGGAGGGATTTATAGAATACAAATATAGTGGATTTTAACATCACTTGACAAAGAGGATAGAAAATGAGAGGATATTGATAATCTCAATATATTTTATGTCAATTTTCTATTTTTGTCTATATCTGTATCTATATGTAGCTCTCAAACTTTGACCCTCTAACAGAGGTTTCTGCTTCTTTTCAAGTGCCTGTGGAATATTTACACATATTGATTATAAGATAGATCAGTGTTTTTCTGTGGATCTGCTACAACAGAATCATCTTAAAACTTTAAAACAAAGCAAAGTGAAAAAACAAAAAAACACCCAGACTTTCAGATGCCAACCATTTAAAAAACAATAAAAATTTAAACATACATTTACATATTTGAATATAAATATGTAAGATATAAAAAGACATAAATAATTAAACATATTTATATTTCCTGATTTCTACAGCATTTTAGAGAACATACTGTTTTATAACTTGCTTCTCTTAATGTGTCTAGAGTTCTGTTCATATTAATATATAAAGAGCTTAATTCCTTTTACTGCTGCATGTATTCCATTCCATTTATGTGAAATAACTTGTTTAACAGATGCCCTAATGCCATTATTAGTCTTTTGGTATCACAAATAATGCTACAATGAAAAACCTTGTGTAGATGTCAATTTGTATAGATTAAAATAATTTCTCAGAAGTGAGATAGGTCAAAACATAGAAGCATTTGTATGTCAATAGATATTGCCAAGTTGTGTTCTGTAGGAGCTGTATTAATTTGAACTTTCATCAGTAATCTATCAGAGTGTTCATTTTTCCAAAGCCTCTACAACAGAATGTTTATTCAAATATTTGGATCTTTGCCATTCTGTTAGGTAAAAATGGCATTTTAGTATAGTTTAACTTTACAATCATTTTATTGAATGATGTTGGGTATTTTTTCATATATTTAAGGACCACATGTAATTATTTTCTATGAACTGTCTGTTCAAAAACTTTGCTCCCTTTTTAAAAAATTGAATTGTTAGTCCAAATTTCTATTTTAAAAAATCTTGCAGATAATTCTTGATAGCAAGTAGATTTAGGAACCAGCCTTTGATACCATAAAATAAATCTAAATAAATGTAAAAAAGCAGATACTTTGCTGGATATATTTGCTTACAATTTGACAGTAAAACTAAATTAATAACAAAGTGATGTTTAAAAAACCCACTTAGGCACTTAGAAAAAACAATCTCAACACTTCCATATAAATACTATTGGGCCAAAGAGGAAATCAAACCTAAAGTTTTTGAATATTTATAAAATAATAACATTAATAATATTGCATATAAAAAGTTATGGGTTGTGTCCAAAGCTGTACTTAGGAGAAAATTAATTTTCTTAAATGGTTTCTTATTAAATAAGAAAGAATAATATTTGCAGGTTGTTACTGTTGTTGTTAGTAACCTGTCTGTTGCCTCAGTTTCTTCATCTGTGAAATGGTGATGGTAAAACCCACCTTAAAATTACTGAATGCTTGTCATGTGACAGAGCCTGATGTGTTGTAGCTATTCAACAATGATAGCTGCTATTATTATCAATATTATCACCTGAAGAAAATAAGAGAAGGAATAAACAAAGATTAAAGTCAAAGCAAATAAATTAGAAATAAAAAGAACATGAGACTTGATAAATAAATCTAGGCTACATATTCATTTATAACCTAGAAAAAGATACAATTCTTTTGGGGGAACAAGACAGCAAAGTAGGTAACTATCTAGCTGATCAAATACAGATAAAAAGAGAAAATAAAAATACATAATATTTGTTATTAAAAAAGATAGAACTACAGATGTGAAGAAGATTAAACAGTTGCTAATAGATGATAATA